GTTCAATCCAATTTTTTCCTACTGATATATTTCAAACTCGTTAAAACTTTTTTTTAAGTTCTGCACAATGGTATCCAAACTTGCATCGGTTGGCTTCAAAGGCTGATTGAGTAGTCAGAGGATTCAATAATAAGCAGAATGAAAGACTGAATGAAGCTTGAGAGGAAGTGCGAACGCTTTCTGATCATAGTAGCTTCGGTATCTTTGATACAGTAAACTCTTTTTTGTTTCTTTGAATTTTTGCAGCATCGCATCCTTCATTGATGTAATTAAGTCTGATTCTGCTGTTACTGATTCTGTTGCCTTTGTCGAAAGGCGAAGAGTAAAAGGTTTTGTCGGTTCTATTCCGTGGAAAATTGAGCTTGGGCAACATTGAGCTTGGAGCCGATTGATGAATAGTACGATGTGTTATGAACGAATGTTGCCAATGGAACATATGTGTGCCTATCTGAACATTGTTGGTCACTGTTTAATCTCAGTATACTTTTAAGATTTCCATGTGATCGTTCAACAGGGCCAACTGCCTGTGGATGTTTCAGCGTCGCTTGGTTGATTTTAATTTCGAGAAGAGGTCTTACCAAGATCTGCTATTATGTTTTTCGGTATGTAAAAACGCGTGAAGAAAAATTTTGTGTGTTCACGTGCACCAGTGTCTGCGCTAACATTCGCCAATGGTGCTGCAAACAGGTATTTTGAGAATACATCGATCCAGTGAGAACGAACTTGTACACTGGTGACTTCAAAGTTCCAACAATATCGATTTGCATCAGGTCTCCTGGCAACCATTGCAATGACAAAATTGTTAGAAAAGGTGGAATTTGATACTTTCCGGTGGCTCTTTTTTCGACAACCAAAATGTCAGAAACAATCTTTTATGAGACTATACCTTTTCTCGGTGAAAATCAAATCAAAGTTTCCGTAACGGTTCACTCAGGGAAATACGCACTCGCTGCCTATTCTTTCGATTGAATCCTTAATCTCAAATTAGGCAGGGTAGTTTTCTAGTAAAATCAATTTTTATTTAAAAAAATTTATTTAAATATCCCCTCTATTCAAATGTTGGAAGACCGCAGAAAGTGGAGTAAGGTTAAAAGAGCTTAAAATAATATGCAGGCACCTAGGGTAGTAGCCGTTCTTTCCATTTAAACCAATTTCTGAAATTTTCTCTAAAAAATCTTTGCGAGAAGCGAAAAAATTTTCCAAAAACGTCAAGAGGAGAAAAGAAACAATTCCCAAATTTTTTCAAATTGATTAATTTATCAAATTGAATATGTTGGAATTGTATCACCAAGACTATTCTGAAATTGTTCATTGTTGCTCGATTTACGTTTAATCGGCATTGGCACCATTGGCAACATTTAATCATAACACATCGTACTATTCGTCAATCGGCTCCAAGCTCAATATTGCCGAAGCTCAATTTTCCACGGAAGAAAACCGACAGCCGTAATGATTCATCCAAAAAGTTAAACAGTATATTTCAGGCGTCTGAAAACGTTATAAAAATGATTTGTTGGTCAACATACACCACTCCATCTTTCAAAATTTGGTGATTTTAACGTCTTTTTTTCTGTCATTGAAACTATTTTCAGAAACCAAGCAAGTTAAGAAAACTACTGTTTGACTTCGACATTTTGGACGCATTATTGTCTTAGTTGCGAGCAACATGATGCAGAGCTGTCAAAGGGGGAAAAATACAACATTTTATCAAAATAATCAAAAATAGTCAATCTTGATTATCACTGAAAAACTTACTCACAAAAATTGAACAGCAACAATTTTTGTACAGAGGCGAAGCTGCGCTAGCGAAAACACAACAAAATCAAGCTTTAGCGAAAAGCACAAAAAGCAGCTCAAAAAAGTGAAATAAAAAAAAAAGAAATAAGCCTAGAATTGGTTAAACAAATTCTGTCACGCGACGTAGGTGAACATGTGACCTAGAGATTAACAAACTGACGCCGTAATCTCTCAACTACGGACGCTAAGCAATCTCCAAACACTAGAAACAACTAAATCAATTGCTATTAAACTGCTAATGCTACAGATCGTGATTATAGCAATAAAGCAAGCAAATAAGCACTTTTATTTGCCAGTTAGTTTGGAAAAATGTTCATACTAATACACTACGCTCGCAACCGTGAATCATTATACATCAGCTAAATTCGTGCTTTCAAAAATGGCCAAAAAAGTCAAGTTGATTTGAGCGGAAGTTGTCGACTTTTTTTATATTCAGAAAATATAGAGAAGGTATACTCATAGTTGTATAAGAAACTAATTAACAAGTAAAAGATTATTGAACGCAAGTATTCCTCATCTCATTCGATGAAACCAGCTCAAATATGGCCAACTGACAGTTGGAAGAGTAATGAACGCAAGGAAACTAAAAAAACTAATTTGTTTTTTCAAAAATATTCAACTTTTGAATTTCTAAAAAACTAGGCTGTGTGAATTTGTAGAAAAGTTTATGACACAGAGGCGAAGTTGCACTTCGCCTACACCAGCAAAAGTATGATCAACAACGCAACTGGAAAAACCTGAAAACTGAATGTGTAAAACTTTGAGTCTACAAAATTTCTCAAGTGACCTACGCCAATTATGAGCCTAGATAATTGCTAAGTGACGCAAGCTAATTATGAAGCATTAGCAGTACCAGTCAGTTTGAAATTTTTTATTTTTACTTATTAACATGTCTCATTTTATCGAGCGGACGCATTTTGACTAGTATATGAAAAAGTTCACAAAAACATCTGGTCCTGCCCAGGTTCGCACCCTCTTATTTTGTTGCGGGTCTCTTTCCCTGCCTCTACACAACAAATCCAAGATACCTTAAAAAACTAAAAAGCTAGCAGAGGCCCAGCTAAAACTGGAGGTGCTTCTTTTTTGATATTTTTTGAATTTGCTGTACTGATGCGGGTTGAAGTAGGTTATTTAAAAAATTTATGCATTGAGCTTCACCCGAAGCCTTGGTTGTTGCTCTATTAAAAAATGGGTGACAAAATTTGTAATTCTGAAATTTTCCCAGAAACATGTTTCTTGCTCGAACTTAAATGCGTAACACTTTATGAGCGGAGGCTTCTTACAACCTGTTGCCTTGATTAAACCTCTGATATCAGGTTGAGTTGATTTCGAGAAACAAAATTTAAAACGGACAAGAAATCAAAACATTGACTTTCCTGAAGGCCCAAACTTTTTTGTGTTGGAAAAATTGAATATGAGCGCTTGCACAGAGAGCCTTTTCTCTCGTCAATGAAACCAATATCTCAGATTCGGGACGGTAGTTTTTGAGAAAAGTCGAAATTTTTCAAAAAACAGTCAAAAATTCAACTTTTCCACGGTCCGAGGGTGATAACTTTCTCTGTAAAAGAAGATAAGCGTAACCGTTTATGCAGGAGAGCGTCCCACCCACAAACCGTTCTGCCAAATGAAAACAAAATCGCAGATTTGGGAGGGTACTTTTTGAGAAAAGTTGAAAAGTTTCAAAAACCAATCAAAAACCAAAAGTTCGACTTTTCGGAGGGTCAATTCTTTTTGTGTATAAAAATTAACTCGTAATCGTTTAAGTCGCGGAGCTTCCCACAACCCATTCTACTCATTGAAACCAGAACCTCCGATTTGCGAGGGTAACAAAAAATCGAAAAAAAATTGAAAAAAAAAAAACGGTCAGAACGAAAAGTTGACTGTTCGAATGATCCTAACTTTTTGTCTAAAAAAAATTTAGGCGTAATATTTCGAGCAGCGGAGCTTCCCACAACCCATTCTACTAATTGAAACCAAAATTTCAGATTTGGAAGGGTAGTTGAGAAAAATCGAGAAGATTGAAAAAACGGTAAAATCGGACTTTTTGGAGGGTCATAAATTTTGTGTCAGGAATTTTAGGCGTAATCATTTAGCAGAGGAGCTTCCCACAACCCGTCCGTTCGATTGCAACTAAAATATCAAGATTTGCGAGCGTAATTTCAGAGAAAAGTGTGAAAGTTAACATGATAAAAAAAATCTAAAAACTGACTATTTTGAGGGCCATAACATTTTGTGTAAAAAAATTGGGCGTAGCCGCTTATGCAGGGGAGCTTTCCACAACCTTTTCTATCCAGTTAACTCAAAACTTGAGATTCGGGTGGATAGTTTTCGATAAAAACAAAAAAATCCAAAAATTGGGTCAAAAATTCTCCCCACACACTATTTCGCAGGCTGTAGAAAGTGGGGTAAGGTAGAAAGAAACTAGGGGAGTATGCAGGCAAACAGGGGAGTGACCGGAATTACCATTAAAACCGCTCTTTTGAAATTCGGGTAAGTAGTTTTGAAGAAAAAGGGAAATTCCCAAAGCGTTTAAAAAAAACGATCCCATACATTGTCAGAATACCTTTTTTTTATCAAGCAGGAATTTGTAATATAAAAGTATGTGTTAATATCCTTAGCATTGGCTACACTCAATAGCTGGCTATTGATCAAATTGAACACTTTCAAAATGAACACATTCTTGCGCAACAATGTTTGCGACTTAGGTTGGAAAAAAGCCAAGCTTGTGTAATGAACACTTTTTAGTTAAAATAACCCAATTTGAGAGAACTGGATCAATAGGTAAGACTTTTATTTCTCTGGGAAATCTGATAAATAATTTCCACTTTCGAAATAAGAAATCAATCGCCTTTTTCGTGACCTTTACACTTTTTCTGTTCGATAGTTCAGTTTGCAATCTTTTCAACAATGGAAACGCACTGAACTTGAAAAAAAATCACAAGCCAAACCGCGAAAAATCAAAGTTGAGCGTGAACAAATCACCGAGACCTAAATAAGAGTACTCACTACGTTCATTACTCTTAAACAACGATGCCTTGAAGTTTTATTCATGTATTCAAAATTCGTAATAAATAAATTAACTAACTAACTCAAGATAAAATAAACTTTATTGATACTACGGTAGCTAGCACGAATCTCCTCCAAATTCCCTTTCCCATAAGTCCTAGAAAAATTTTACATGAAGAAAAAATGCTTTCTAAATTGTTTTTTTTTAACCACAGGTAGCAACATAAAAAGCCTGTTGTGACCTTTAACAGGAAATCAGTTTTGGGATGCTAATTCTCTCTCAATTGTACATTTAGTAAGAATGGAAAAAATGCTTTAGTAAAAATGCAAGAAGAGGGTCTGGGAAAGGAAAGAGGAGTTTACACAGTTTAAGTTCCGTACAATTTTTCATGTGGCAGGCTGCATTGCAGCTGACAGCAACGAGGGTTCCCTCGGAGAATCGAATATCATTCTCATTATATGTTCACAGGGTACAGATACGTATGTGATTCCACAGTGCAGCGAAGGTGGCTCTTTGATTCGTGTCGTGCTCGATGCGGCGACATCGGTGAACTCTTCGAATAACTGTCCCCATGTTTCTGGTGTTGTCATGTTCTCATTTGGAAGAGGGGAAACTGCTACTTGTGCCTTGCCTACTTTGTTTGGCCCTAAAACATTCATGTTTCGATTATCCGACTTATCATCCACGTATTTATGATATAAAACAAACTTATGTCAAACTAATTTGCGCCTACATGAAAAGGGACTATGAAAAAGAGGTATAAAAATCAAAATTTTAATTTGGAATGGACAAAATTTCATTTTTTTGCCAATTTTTAAAGACAATACTTCAAAAAAAAACAATGAAAACATTTTCGTAGACATTCACACAAACCTCAGATGTAATGACTAGTGTTGTAAGCAAAGAAAAATCTAAGAAAAAGACTATTTCCGACCTGTCATGTTTATGAACTCTGTCGGTGCTTCCTGCTTTTTGTTGAACATTGTGGTCACAGTTGATAAGATATTCGAAGAAGACTGTCGCTTTTTGAAAACTAAAATAAACAATACCATTCACAATTTCATTTCTCTGAAAAAAATTAGGGTGGGATCTGAAGTTTCGCAAGGGGGTTTGTGAATTTTATAATTTTTAGGCCAATTAAATTGATTTTCTGAGCTCTCGCTGCACTTTAAAAGCATGTTAGGCTGTCAAAATGTCTGTTCTACTGCCATTTTTTTGACAAAATGGGCCTAAAATGTCGTTTCAGGGACCTGCACGAAGGTTTGGTTGAAAATTGAGATTTTTGGCGCGCACAATCCTGGAAATTAAGCAAGAAAGACACTTTTTCATATAAATGTCGTAGAGGCAAACTGGAGTTTCGACCACCTTCGATTCATCACAAGCATAGCATTGCAAGGTAGACAACCGAAAATGAGACCACAAGCCGAAAAAAACTGACTACATCAACCACAAATTTCATAAACCGAATGAAATTCATTTAAGAAGAAAATGAGAAAGCGTTAATTTACCGGAACTTCGTAGACAATACTTGAGTAGACGACCAATGACCCGAAAAACTATTAATTGAGCGCCTATACTATATCCATGCTATATCAAGCGCTTAAGCCGAAACTTTTTAAGCCAAATGAGTTTTCAAGTGAAAAACAAACAAGTAACACGGAAACTTTACAATCAAAATGACTTCGTTGATAGTCAATTAAACGGCATTCAAAATTCTCAATTTATATAACCGTCCCAAATAGGCGGAGTTGCAAAGAAAAGAACCAGAAACCAGTAGCAAGTAAAAGCAAGAAGCCGAAGGTATGTAGAGAACGAAAAAGGCGCGGAGCAGAATTCGAAAAATAGTGGGCGTAGCAACTTGCATGCATGCCGCTTAGCATGTGCGATTAAAATGATTATTCGCTTTGATGCGGCACGCATCAGTGTAAATGTTTTAGTCGAAAATGTTAGAAAACAAACTCAAATCGAATTACGAGATCCATTTTTGGCTGGCCAACAACAAAAGTTTTCTTAAAGCGCCTTCGACGCCAATATAACTGAAATTAACGGCGAAGCGCACGCTGAAAAATTTTTTGGTCAATTATTTTTTAACAGTGCTCAAAAACTCATTTTTAGCCAGTTTTTTTTTCTTTAACTGGCTAAAAAGTCACAGAGGTTATCAGTACTGTTCTTTAACGGTTGAAGTCACAGAGGTTATCAGTACTGTTCAAGTAAAACAACAGTTGTAACACAAATTTCAAAATTTTGTTATTTGACGTTAAAAAGAAAAATTCATTAAAATAGCCTAAAGTATAACGATTGTGCTAGAAACAACCTAAAAACGCTGCAACAATGATGATAAATCTTCATGATTCGTCCAGATCTTGACAAAACTTCAGGACGAAAAGGATACTACCATTCGCATCTCTTGACAAAAAAAACTTTGACAAGTAACTTGGATTATAAAAGTTTTAAATGAAGCGAGAAGCCCCAGCTAATCGCAAAAACATGCAGATTTTGATACTTTAGATCGCCTGAAACCGGATCGAAAAACCTCGCAAAAGTAATCTTCAAACCCTAAAAGTATGAGCTAATTTTTACGTTTCCAACCTTTTAAAGCACTTAGAAACAGATTCAAACCGATTTTTCTGTTTTTTTTATCGGAGAGCTCGGAAAATCAAATTGGTGGACCAAAAAAAAGGTGGACAAAAATTTTTCGTCGAAACCCACCCCCAAAAAAATTTCTGCACACGTCATTGTCGACGAACCTTCTTGAATTTGAGAGAAAGAAGATGCGCCCAAAAATATTGTCGTCAGATTTTCTGAAACGGGAGTAGTGCCATTTGAACTGTCATGTTCAGAACCATTTGCATCACTTGCGTTTCTCGAATACATCTGTAGAAACTTCGGGTCGATTTCAACTACGAGTTCCACACAGAACTCTTGGCCCTGAGATAGAGTCACGTTGTCCCAAGCACTCTCAAAATCGTCGATTAAGAAGTACACATTTGGAAAAGACAACACATTGCGACTACTTTTCTTGTCCATTCTGTGTTTGAACGGTGAGGCGTATGTGGTTCTGCAAACAACATGCTGTTAGCCATAAAAATCAAGGGTTGAAAAAGATTTTAACAACTTTAATTTATGAGTTAAAGAGGCAAAAAGAATCATTTATATATGCAAAAATAATAAATGTCACTAAGACTCAGCAACAGTGAAGTTAAGAATTATATCAACATACAGCTCGATAAAAACAACCAGCATCGTTAATGAAACGAAAATTTCTAATTTTATCGACCATATTACATCACTTAAGCTCTATCAATTTCATGTAGCCCTTATAGTTGCGCTTTTTTAAATATTACACAGAGGCGAAAATTTACTTCGCAAACCCTAGCGAGAACACGACAAAAAGCAGCCTCTATAAAAAGCAATAGGAAAAATTAGAAATAAACCTCGATTTAGTAAAAATTCGGCTAATCTGAGATTCCAACCTACAACCCAGAGATTTAGAGTCTCAAACACTAACCACTCAGTCACAGTCGCTTGATATGTACCAAGCACTAGCCACAAATAAAGCAGAGAACAGATGCTATGCAATTTCCGATGCTACAGCGAGATTTCCAAACAAGTGAACAATTTTAATGAACAGTTTTATTTGGAGGTTCAAAATAATACACTACGCTGATCGCAAGTGTAAAAACAATTTGGATCAGCCGTAACCATTTAAACAAAGTTTAGAGCCAAAGACAAAACGAAATTAAAAGTTTACAGCGAACAATTTTAAAAAAAAATGAATAGAAAGACACACAATGCACACATGCTCAAAACTAGCCAACAGACAGCAGAAAAATGGAAAAGAGTCAATGAAAGCAAGTAAACAGAAAAATAAAACTTTTAAAAAAATATAAGCTTTCGAATAAAAACGAAAGAACAGATGATCTTAAAATTTTTGAAATTTCTAGAACCATTTATGATAGTCAATTTTTTTGATAACACTAACCCAATTTGAGAAAACCAGATCAATAAAAAAAATGGTTCAATTCGAAGGGAAACCTGAAAATTCAATTACACTTTCGAAACTTCAAGTCGATTCCATTTTCTGTGATCTTCACACTTTTGATATTCGATAGTGGAGCTTGCCTTCCTTTTACACAGAGGCGAAGTTGCACTTCGCATACACAAGCAAAAATATGACCGATAAAAAAACTGGGAAAAACTGAACGGGCAAAACTTTGAGTCTACAAAAATTTATCAAATGACGCACGTCAATTATGAGTCTACATAATTGCTAAGTGAAGCAAGCCAATTATGACGCTTTAGCAGTACCAGTCAATTTGAAAAAAGGGAACTTGCCAACTAACATGCGTCAATTTCTGGAGCAGACGCATTTTAACTAATATGCGAAAAAGTTCATCAAAAACATCCGACCCTGCTCAGGTTCGAACCCTCTTATTTTGCTGCGGGTCTCCCTACCTCTACGCTACAGATCCATGCTACCTTGAAGCTAAAGTGCTATTTGTGCGTAATAAGCATCGACACAAAATTTATGCCGCGAAAACAAAGCCAATAATACTTCGCCGACGACTGTTGCGCCAAAAAAAAACTTTGGGCTATGAAACATTTTGGAACTCGAAGAAGTTCAGTATTCCCGATAAATACGCCAAGAAACCTTTTCAGTTGTCAAATAATGCAATGGCGACTAAGCCGTTTTTATAAATCCAAAACCGAAATCTACAACCAATTTAAAACAAAAGTATGCTGCCAAGACAATTAGTAGTTACCAGTAAAAGCAACCATTAGGTCAATTTGAGTTTCCAGATAATTAGTACGTCAGCACAAATGATTCGGTGATTTTATTTTAAAACGTTACGCACATGGATACCGCGACAACAAAAAAGACAAGTCGTAAAATTTAAGGAAAGCTGCAATTTAAGACTTCGGTTCATGGTCGCCGGTGGTCACACTACGCGCGCATCCAGGTGATAACTGGCTTTTATTTTCATGTAAAGTCTTACTCTGTGGGCAAGCATGTAACACGCTGGCGCGACTGCGGCGGTGGGTATTTTGCGAGTTGTCTTTTTAGTCAATTGTCTTTTAATGCGATTTGTCTTTTGCTGCAAGTTATCTTATTATGGTTCACCTTGTATGTTACAAACTGATAATGGTTGCCAATTGCAAGCGGACAAAAACCTAAGGGAAACAGTTTAAGACCAAATACAAAACCTAAATAAGCGAAATTTAACCTCCATTCAAACCCAATTAACCGTTAATTTTCTCTGCATATTGAGATCTGATAAATAGCTCAAACTTGACCGTTCCTTCATAGCTTTCTGAAGACTTACACCAGAAAATGCTTTCTGAGATGGAGCTTGGAAGACCGGTGCTTATGATGCGACTTTCCTTTCTCACTTGACCGTCCCTTCTCCAAGATCCCGCAACTGAGTTTGAATCTACAGAGGTGTATCAACAGGTTCAAGTAAGTCGTCTCCTCCCAATCAATTGTTGCACTAAACACTGACTGCAGATTGTCTGTTGTGCTGATATCTGTGAATCTCTTTACCGAGACAGCAGGTATCAAGCCACCACTAAAACAGAAAATTCAGTTTTCCTTCTTAAATCTTTCTTTCAAATCTACAAAGCCTACTTTGAACTACCTACTTTTCTCCTACAATTTTCTCCACAATATAGCAAACATCATCTCCGCTTTCTAAATAAAACAACTTAATTTATGCTTTGCAATGAAGAGGACTAAAAATAGATTTCAAAAAAAGTTTACCGAAAAGATGAAAACTTTCGTCATTTAGATTGCCACGCGGGATGAGAAATAAATTCTGAAATGCTGTCAGCCAAAAGGCAACAAAATCTCCCAAATCTTCGAAGTCTGCGGAACCATTCGAAGTGGACCTGCCTCCATCTCAAACACAGAAGTTAGGTATTATTTAGCTATTACTGGTAGATTGGCTAAGCTCAGCAAAACCACTATCAACATCGAAAGACATACACATTTATTCATTGACAAAGGTTCAACGTAAAATTTCACGCAACGAACTTGTTTAAAAAACATCCATTTAAAGTTTAAAAAAATCTAGAGATTCCAAAAATTTCTTCTGATATTTTCAACCCAGGTTAAGAAAGACACATTGTCAAAAATTCCTTTGTCCTTTCATTTGGCATTAAATTAATTGGTTATGCGCCAGATTGAATTTATTGCTTTCAAAAGCAAACGAGAAGACAAAAAATTCAAAGACACGTTCTAAAGTATCGGATTCCACAACCTTACAACTTCGAACCCAATCGCCAGCAGCATTGGAGGAAGATATCAAATCAAATGTGAAAAACAATATTGCTGAAACCATACAAAAACCTGTGCCGTAGCAACTACACCGACAAAAAAGCCGACACGACATTCGGACAATCAGTTTTTCAGACAATTTCCAGTTTACAAAAACAACTTTCAAGCCCCGGAAGCCTTTCGTCCAAATGTGCAGATTTCGACGCTTAACTTAAAGTGATTATAAACCCAGCTATCAAACAATTCATCGTTGTGTTGGACAAGTGGTTTCACAGGAAAAAAGCACGAAAAAGACTAGTCTAAAATACGAAGTAGAACAGTTCATTTATAGAATAGTTCAATTAAATCATTTTTAAAAATACGTCAGTAACATAAAGACATAGAGGGTACAAGAAGCCACTACATAAGAACTGCAAAAAATAAAAGAATATTTTTGATCGGATAAATGGGATTTTCAATTCAATTAGATTATACTTTCTATACATTGCTTTATTATAAAATAAGAATGGAGAAAAATTGCAAAAAAAAACAAATGGAAACAAAAACAAACGGAAACAAAACAAATGGAAACAAGGATAGGCGGTTATTGTGCAAGTAGCACAGAACGTTCCGACCATAATCTTACAAAAGTACAATATATATATTTTTCAAATTAGTGTCGTTTTTTTGTGTGGTATGATAAAAAAATCTGAACGAAAAAATAGAAATTAGGCAAATGCGACCGTCATAGTCAAAAGCGGCCGATTGTTAAACAGTTTTATAGCAAAATTGCCAGAAAAACAAAAACATTTTGCAAAACTAACTTTACCCACAGAGGTAACGCAGAGCAATACAAAACAAACATTAAAAAAAAACATAGTCTAAAAATATTTTCAAGATGTTGAAAAAAAAACAAGGTGAACCAATTTTTCGGGAGTCTCGATAAAAACAACTACAGGCCCAACTAAAACTGGAGGTACGTGTTTAATAATGAATGAGTTTGCAATACTGATGTGGCACGGAAAGTGTAATTTCAAAAATTGGACTTTGCCTAAAACATTAGCTTCTCTACTTAAATCAGTGAGATGACTGAAAAATTTTGAGATAATCAATTTTCCCAAGGAGATAGAATTTCTTTTACAGAAAAATCAAGAAATAGCTGCTTCTGCAGGAAAAATTATCGCAACCCGTTTTTTCAATTGAACTTTTCATCTCAGATTTGATTGAGTAATTTTTTTAAGAAAAATCAAAAATTTTCTGAAAAGCGGTCGAGAGTTCTAAAAAAACGTTCAACGGCTTTCCAAAATCCATAACATTTTTCTGCAAAAAGCAGTTTATGGCCGCTTAAGGAGAGAAGATTTCGAAAGCCGGGTTTCTCGATTGAACACAACTTGAGAATTGGCCCGGTAGTTTTCGCGTAATGTCAAGAAGTTTCCAAAACACTGTCAAAGTAAACTTTGCCTTGTTTGAAGGCCATAACATTTTAAACAAACTCCGCAAAGGTAACTTGAAAGGTAGGCTTTCAACAACCTGTTCAATCGACTACACCTATAATATGAAATTTGGCAGGATAGTTAGCGAGAAAAGTTTTTAAAAAAACGGCCAACAAATCAAAAATTTGACACTTCCGAGAATCATAGCTTTTTGTGTGACAAAATTATACAGAAACGTTATTCAAAAAGGGTTCACGCAACCTGTGATTTTGATTGAACCCAATAAGCCAGATTTAAGAGAGTGCTTTTCGAGAAAAATCAAAATTTAAAAAAAAAATCATAGTTTTTACTTTTCCGAGGCCAAAACTTTTGGAGTAAAAAAAATAGAGCATAGCCGCATAAGCAAATGAACTTCCCTTCGCCGGTTCTGAGAATTGATCCCAAAATCTCAGGTATGGCTGGGTAGTTTTCCAGAATATCTTAAAAATTAAAAAAAAAAAGATCACAATATGTGACTTTTCAGAGAGCGATAACTTCTAGTATAAAACTTTTTGCTAAGGTCCACTAATGCAGAGGAGCTTCCCAATACCTGTTAACTCACTGAAAACACAATATCAGATTTGAGAGGTTAGTTTTCGAGAAAAAACAAAAAGATCCACAAAACGGTCTTAAATCAAAAATTTTACTTTTCTGAGGCCCATAAATTGAATGCAGTGGAGCTTTTCAAAACAGTTCTATTCATTGAAACCAAAAACTCATTATTGAGAGAGGCATTTTTGCAGAAAACGAAAGAAAATCAAAATTATGAAGGCTATAGACAGAGGGGTCAAGGGGTCATATATCGAAGGCTATAGACAGAGGGGTCAAGTAAAAAAAAAGACTTTAGGGGAGTACTCAGGCACACTCCAAAGGCCATAACAAAATTTAAAAAAAAATCATAGTTTTTACTTTTCCGAGGCCAAAACTTTTGGAGTAAAAAAAATAGTGCATAGCCGCATAAGCAAATGAACTTCCCTTCGCCGGTTCTGAGAATTGATCCCAAAATCTCAGGTATGGCTGGGTAGTTTTCCAGAATATCTTAAAAATTAAAAAAAAAGATCACAATATGTGACTTTTCAGAGAGCGATAACTTCTAGTATAAAACTTTTTGCTAAGGTCCACTAATGCAGAGGAGCTTCCCAATACCTGTTAACTCACTGAAAACACAATATCAGATTTGAGAGGTTAGTTTTCGAGAAAAAACAAAAAGATCCACAAAACGGTCTTAAATCAAAAATTTTACTTTTCTGAGGCCCATAAATTGAATGCAGTGGAGCTTTTCAAAACAGTTCTATTCATTGAAACCAAAAACTCATTATTGAGAGAGGCATTTTTCGAGAAAACGAAAGAACATCAAAATTATGAAGGCTATAGACAGAGGGGTCAAGGGGTCATATATCGAAGGCTATAGACAGAGGGGTCAAGTAAAAAAAAAAGACTTTAGGGGAGTACTCAGGCACACAGTGGAATAAACGGTCTTTCAATCGGTACTCTTTTTTGAAAATCAGAAGTTTCTGAGAAAAACTAAAATTTTTACAAAAATTGGAAAAATTTTCCAAAAAATGAGATTTTATCAATCAGATTGATAGCATGCAACCAACCTGCGGAAGGAAGAGCTAAATTTGTGTTGATCTTGTAGAGTCCCAAAATTAGGTCATTAAGCCGATCAAAATAAGGCTGAAATGAAAAAATAACAAAGAAAGAAAAAAATATGGGGCCAATGAAAAAAAATTACAAAATATGGGCGTAAATCTAACACTAAAAACACTATAAAAAAATGCGCGTAGAAAATAAAACAATTCCAAGTTGTGACAAGGAAGCCGAAAACAGACAAGTAATTGGCCGACAATTTTTTAAACAAAAAATTTCCCGTTTGAAAAAAAAACAGGCCCTGATCAGACTCGTACCCAGGACCTTTGCCGTCCCAGGCATATTCGTTATCTCTAGGCTAACTTGGCCAGGAATGCTAAGAGAGTTGTTTACATAATGAAACAAGGCAGAGATGAGTCCAGACGAGTCCTGTGGACAAAATTGAACGGGAAAAAGTCAATTACCCGGTTGTGATACCCTTGATTATCGCAAGGGTAACAATTAAAATAAGTTTCCACGGCTTAGTTTTAGTGCAAAACTAAGTTTTCCTGCAGACTCACCTAATTAACTTGAAGCTAGACCAAAAACCAAAAATTTTAAACCAATTTTTCACAAAGAAAAAATTTTCCAAAATATTTTAATGGCGTTTCAATTACAACTCAAAGTGGTTTAATATGTAACTGGACCCATTCCGATGCTTATTTGTGGTACCTGATTTTGTATGGAAAACTGAAAGCAAAAAAAAAACTAAAACACACCCGAATACAAAATTCCTCTACATTTTTCAATGGTCGGAAGAACAAAAACAAACGAATTAGGCAAGCCGTTAGCAAAAAAAGCTACCGTGAAGGCCCATTGATTTATTTCTCATAAATACACGTTGATATTAGAATTTTTTAAAGGCAAAGTTTTATTAGGAACGCCATGATCCAAAAATTATTTTATAACTTGCAAATCGCAAAAATCTTGCAAAACAATTAACTGCGCCACCAAGTTTCAAATTGTTTCATTCAGAGCAACTAAACACAGAGGCAAAACGAGCCTTTGCAATACTTTCGATACAGTGTATGAATAGTATTGCAAGCTAGCGGATAAAAAATGAGACTAAAACAACGTATACGAAAAAAAACTACATCTAGAAAAATTTCCCACGTTGTGTTCAACCGATGTTTTAAGAAACGACAGTCAAACAACGAAGTTGCCAGCGTCAAATAAGCATTAGGTATCCTGGCCGAGCGGCCAGTAAGCCGATAATACTTCGGTAGTCGCTCGTTGAGCCGAAAACAAACTTCCCATAAAAATAAACACAGAGGCGAAGCTTTGCTTCGCAAACACTTGCGAGAACACAAAAAGTGGCTCTTTAAAGAGCAATAATTAAAATAAGAAATAAGCCTCGAATTAGTAAAAACACGTCTACCGCTGATATTCGAACCTGCGAACTAGAGATTCAAGTCTCCCACACCACGGAAGCTTTATATGCATCGAACACTAGCCACAAATAAAGGGGAGAACAGATGATATGCAATTTCCAATGCTACAGTGAAACTTCCATGTGAGCACTTTTAATAAACACTTTTATTTGCGAGTTAGGTTAGAAAAAAATAAGGTTCGTAATCATACACTAAGCTGATCGCAAGTGTAAATAATTTTTTTTGAAATAATAAGACTCAAAGCTCGAAACCTTTACACCCCACCCCTCCTGAAACGGAAAAATCATAAAACCTTTTCTTTTGCTTCCACACGACGCAAAATAAGATGATTGGGACAAAAAAAATAATTTGAATGATTTGAGTCAAAAGGTCTGGAGATCGAATACCGGCCGGACCTTGTTTTCAAACATGCCGGAATGAGCATCAGACCTTTTGATTCAAAATCATTCGCTTTACCCAATGAATAAGTTCGAATGTGCCTGGAGCTAGTCGAATTTCCATAAAACAAGGTGTCGACCTTTAACATGTAAAAGTTGTTTTCAGAAAAAATGTATAGTTCTCGATAACTAACAACTTGCTCTCGCAAGTGAAAAATATAGTCAAACATTGAATAAAATAAACAACCAATTATCATCACACATTATCACGCAGGCCAGAGCAAAGCAAAATACGTTCAAACTGATATCGTATTTTTAGTAACTTACTTGCTATCTTCCTGGAGGCAGCTCGCTGCCTTCTAAGATAAATATTCTTCAACGTAGTGCTGATCAGCTCGGTCTTTGCTGATGCTGTCATTTCTGCAGCATATTCTATGGCAGTGTTCGCAGTTGCTGAATCGATGCATACAAAACCTGCCATGGAGTTACTTGACGTACTTCTATGTTTAAATTCAAGGTTTCTCTCATGTCGCGATTATTGATAGCTTTGTAACTGCAGAGCAAACATTTCGTTTGTTCTGACAGGTCATTTTGACAAACTTAATGAAAATCAGTCAAAATAATATGATGCAATATAATATGGTTCAAGAAACGGTAAACAAATTTGATCCGATATTCGAGAAGAGCCTCACATAAACAGTAATGAAATCCCACGAAATATTCTATGACACCGCGGGCAAATACATTAATCAAACTACTGTTGCAACATCATTTTCAGCAGTAACATTATTTAATCTGTCTCGGGAAAGTACAATTTGTGAAAAAAATCTGAAACTTTCTTCAATTTGTAATCAGATCAAGCCATGAAACTTCAGATCAAAACATACGGGGTATGCCATCTTTTCCTGCCTTTCCCTGATTAATCAAAAAACGAAAGGATGAAAACCATTTAAAATGAGCGTGAACTTAACTTACAAATTATAAAAATTTCATTTGCTTAATGGAAACTTTTTCAGGAGTACGCGTTAATCATGATAACCGAAAATACCTCACTAGTCCTTCATCATTTCACCAGGTCAAAACCACTAGAATTTCAGAACTTAAAGAAAGTAACTTTCTGGAACTAACTTTATAAACCTTATTTTTATTAAAGTTCTTGAAATCTTCAACTTTTTCATGTCAATTAGCAAAATTAAACTGAAGCATATGCAATAAACATACCTTTTATCTGTTTAAAAAAGTTATAACTCAGTGAAATTTAATGAAACAATACAACCGTTTTCGCTATAACTAGCAACATCTGGTATGTACAACAACTTAAAGACCAAAGTATTAAGTTAAAAAGATTGGAAAATCAAAATGATTCGCATTGAAATTTTGTGTCAGTCGGTCATATTGAGAAGTTTTCGGTTCATTTTTTTTCAAAATTTCGAATTTGCCCTCATGTTGTTTTTCCGCAGCAAGCAAAATCAAGTCGAAAATCAGAAAAGCGAATTCTACAATTGCGGCAAACACGCTCGAAAAAATTCTTCACGTCAAAATGCTATTCGTAATTGGCCAACGTGATTTAATTGAGTAGAGTTGTCTCTGATTCTGATGGAGAATACAAGAATTGGGTGCAGCATGCCAGACAACTAGAAATTCAAGTGAACCATTACCCTGCTTCATTGAAGAACTTTCCTGACTAATTGACTCGACGGTCCGAAACTGCTCCGTTACTGCAAAACTAGTACAGTTAACTAAAACTTCTAGATGGAATTAAAGTTGTATAATACGAACGTTTTCGCACATTTGTGCAACATCAGGTTTAAAAGTATCAAAAATTTGTAAAATGATCCTCGATCATAAAATTATCCTAAGAGAATGCTATACAAAATCATAAAAATCCACCAATCAGAAGTTTGCAAATTCGAAATTACCGCCAAATTTACATCATGATTATATCATTAGACTAAGGTGGGTCTAGGACAACAAGCCGACGGGACTTCAAGCCGAAGGGACTTCAAGCCGAAATTAAAACTTTACAAGCACCCCAAAACGCTATTTTGTCATCTGCAAAATGTTGCTTTTCTAAAATTTTGGCAAGTTTAGTCCATAATAAGCGTTATTCATGACAATGCATCACTTGTGATTCGCATCCGTCAATAACATCAGCCGGTTTTTGAAATGCATAAATTATAAACATGATAAATACCTTCAACCATGTTTTACTTTTCAACTTTCCGGAACATCATTTGGAAGCTTAAGTTATATGCAAACGCCAATAACTAGTGAAGAAAGATAATGAAATTCAGAAATTCTTCAAAAAAGTTTTCAAATTGTTCATATTTCACGACTTTATAAGGAATTATTCGGCTTGAAGTCCCTAATTTTACAATTCGGCTTGAAGTCCCGTCGGCTTGATGTCCGGCACCCGACTAAGGTTTCTGGAACATTCTATTAAAGTTATCTTTTAGTTAAATTGAATTTAAATTTAATTTTTCAAGTTGCCTCATTTTCCATTTTCAAAACATGTTGATTTTTTCGAAATTTATGTTTTTGAATTAGCCTAAATTCGTTTTCGGAACTTAAATTAAATCAGTTTCCTGCTCTTGAATTCATCGCTCGTGTTTATTCTTGGTCTTCCAGATGTCAGAAGCTTTGTGCCAGTCGGTCATATTCGGAAGTTTGACCTTGAGAGAAGCAAAAAACACTTGATTTTGGAGTGAAATTTAATTTTTCAAAATTACGAATGGAACCTGTCATGCACGATTTTCTCGCGATAACTGAAAATCAGAAAAGAGAAGTCAGAACGATCGAGTGACAATCGCGGGAAAGTTGCTAGAAAAATCAGTGGGAAATTGCTTTTCGCAATTTCAGTAGCAATAATAATCGAGAGTAGAGCTGTCCCATCTAAAACAGAGACGAGAGCATTCCCACGAACTGGATTGTTGTGATTGGAGTACTATTATTAACTGGACCAGAGTGAACCTTCAGTGGAAAGGTGGACAGCTAGAGTGTCTCAATGGTTCACGAGAACTTACAGTCTAGAGTAAAAACTTGTTCTTGTTATTGAAACTGACTAACATTAAACTCATTTTAGTTACTTTATTGATTCTTGAGTTGCTTACCGACTTATTTTCTTCCTGGTTCTTGAGCGTGCTACAATGTGAGTACTAATTTAAATTTCTAGAGTGTGTTTTATAATTGTTATGTTGAGGTAAGGCGAGTTTTAGGTTGATCCATCTGAAATGGATCAAAGTTCCACTGTCTAATAAAAAGTAACTTAACGGATTGTTCCAACCCGGTTTTTAACGGCGTTCATGTATTTTGGGTATCTAGAGACCTAAGTATGGGGAATTTTCTAATTCTAGAGTGGGGGGATATTTTAGTAGTAGCCTTTAAGCTGTAATGGGTCGTAGTCTCATGTCACAAGCGAACCGAATTGGCTCCGACTGATTTGAGGTACAAAAACACAAGAGATAGTGTCCCTGACTCTTGAGCCAATGGTTATAGGGCCTATTTTTCTTAAGCCTCATGTGTGACTGCAGTAGACGAATGTTACATAGTGTTTTTATGGCGCTCCTGGGTGTTTAGGCATCAAGACTACGGAGTCGAACCCACTTGAGACAGCTTCGGGCTGAATGCCCATTCTAGAGTACCGGCGGTACGGTTCGACAGGAACGTGCAAACCTTCCGGTTGTACCGTGATAGCTTTTTAAGAAAACTCAAGAAAACTTCCTGGTACGCTCTCTGAACGAGGCTTAGCTAACCGAGTAAAGGGGGGCAACTAGGGGGACAAAAACACGAGCAAAAAGACAAAAAGCGAAACAAAAACCATAAAACGAAAAAAGACAGTGACTTTGACACCAGATTAGTTGGATCAAACCTTTATATTAATTAAATAGTATACCCATACTGTTTTACAAGTTCGATCGTTTCGATCAACCTAGTAATTTAACCCAGTAACCTCAATAAAGAGCCCGAGTGTGGGGAGTTGTCAAGGGTTTTTAGATAGCTTGGAACTTAGCTGGACAACAAGGAGACTTGACTGGAAGAGGTGACCAGCCGAGTGGGAAAGTGGTTCAGGAGCACTTGAGCTGAACCAATAGGAGACTTGACTGGAAGAGGTGACCAGCCGAGTGGGAAAGTGGTTCAGGAGCACTTGAGCTGAACCAATAGGAGACTGGACTGGAACAGGTGACCAGTCGAGTGGGAAAGCAGCCAAGAAGGATTTGGCAATTCTCGAGTTCTCAAGTTGGGCAGAACGGGTATCGTTAAAATCCACATTACATTATAGGAGATAAGTGTAAAATAGGATAAGCGACATCCCCCGGTTTTGAGGAACGTTTTTACTTGAGCAGGCCTGGAGACAGGTCTACGGTTTTCTCTTGAGAGGTTTAGCACCCGGCGCTTAAGGTAATTTTAGGCTTAAGAAGGGGGGCTAAAAAGGGGGGAGGTTAGAAGGGGGGCTGGTTAAGTTAGAGGTTGGCGGTTGTAAATTGTAAAGAGGGGGAAATTAGAGTAACTAACTGGTCGACATCGTTGACTTAGTTACATTAGACATTAACACGCGTTGGTAATATTAGGTGGATATCGAAATTTGAACTCGAGTTAAGGAAGGTACCCTGGTCGGATTGGTAGGGGGGAAGGGACATAGACAGTTTTTGTAATACCCCATAAGATCGCTAGCAGGGGGGAAGGAAACGCGTGGCAATTAGGTACCAGACATTTTTTTCGATAGAAGGTAGACATTTGTCACCTTTGAATTTTAGGTGGGCTCATTTTTCTGTTTTTATTACTTTTTCTTGCTTAGATTTTTGTTGCATTTTGGTGAGGATTTGTGTTAAAATTTTGTACGAACAGGTGATCACAAGATACCTGCGCACAGGTTTTGGTCTCAAGTTACTTGGAACATTGAAATAGAGGTAGCCAAAAAGAGAAATAAGAAAAAGGGGGGTCAGCATTTGGCTTTTAAGAGAGGATTTTGGGAAAATTTTACTAGAGCTTGAGTGGTGGTACAAGGTACAGTGAATCAAGAAGTCCCCATAACGAAGAGGAAAGAAGTCCCACCACCCAGACACTTGTCAACAGTCTTGGGACAGTGCCGAAGAAGTCTTAGGACAGAGCAGTCTGGGGACAGTCTTGGGACAGTACAGTCTTGGGACAGTGGTCTTGGGACAGGGTCTTGGGACAGGGTCTTGGGACAAGGGTCTTGGGACAGGGTTTCGGGACAAGGTCTTGGGACAAGGGTCTTGGGACAGGGTCTTGGGACAGGGTCTTGGGACAAGGTCTTGGGACAGGGTCTTGGGACAAGGTCTTGGGACAGGGTCTTGGGACAAGGTCTTGGGACAAGGGTCTTGGGACAAGGGTCTTGGGACAGGGTCTTGGGACAGGGTCTTGGGACGAGGGTCTTGGGACAGGGTCTTGGGACAGGGGTCTTGGGACAGGGGTCTTGGGACAGTAGTCTTGGGACACTAGTCTTGGGACACTAGTCTTGGGACAGTAGTCTTGGGACACTAGCCTTGGGACACTAGTCTTGGGACAGTAGTCTTGGGACAGTAGTCTTGGGACAGTAGTCTTGGGACACTAGTCTTGGGACAGTAGTCTTGGGACACTAGTCTTGGGACACTAGTCTTGGGACAGTAGTCTTGGGACACTAGTCTTGGACAAGAGTCTTGGGACACTGCCGGAAAGTACTGGGACGGTACCGAACAGTCTTGGGACAGGAGAAAGAAGCCTGGGACGGTACAAAGAAGAGTAGGGACGGCAATTGGAAGTCTTGGGACAGTATAAAAATTGAAGTAAAATTACAAGAAGTGTTTTAAGACAGAATTAAGGTAGAACAAGACTAATTGGAACCAGGTACGGTTGAGACCACAAATAAGGAAAGTTTCTCGAAAAGTTAATAAAGAGAACTGAAACAAGGTTTTCACCACGTTGTATATTTTTTTTAAGAATTTTTTTTTTCCTCTCGAAAGATTTTATTCTTAGAATAGGATTGTGTATATAGTAAAATTGTAAATAAGAGCAATTGTAAATAGAAATAATGAGGTGGAGCAGGGTACCGGTAGCTGAAAAAAGACCTACCGAAGCAAAGTATAATTCGTCGCTACGCAAAACAACATCAATGGGTCCGAAGATAACAAAGAAGAGCTTTTCAGTTAATATGGTGAGCACAAGGAGTACAACGGAGAGAGCAAGAGAGGGCATGGAAGGGGAACGAGTAGAACCCACCATCGAGATTGATCTAGAGACACCTGATCAAAGTGTTGATGAAACAAGGAAAATAGCGACGGAGTCTACTCCAATGCCCAATGCAGAAGAACCAAACTCGAAACCCATAGAATTCTCACCAATAGACAACGTGGAAGATGCAATAGGCAACACCGAAGAAACGGTGAAAGAAGACTCTCAAGTAAAAAAGACATCTTTTACAGAAAGGTTGGCGATGATGGTCGGAATAAAAACGAAAGAGAACGTGACTGAAGAACCAAAAGCTGAAAGAGCACGAACATTTGGAACAGTGAGCACGAAGACGACAGAAGCCAATCCGAGAGAGGAACAAACTAGAGCAGAAGCGACGGCCGAAGAAAGACCGACGGCTGACCATGAAGAGGCTACTCTTGAGCTAGGTGACTTGATGGCGAAACTGAATCAGATCGACAAAAAGCTGAAGCACAGCGAAGAGGACAGAGAAGTGAAAAGAAAAGAATTAAGATACAACAAAAACGAGTATCTGGATAGTTATTTTAACCTGGCCAAGGCAACAGAAGAGAGACTCAAGGAGATGTCAGATAATGTAGAAACCACCAATGAAGAACGAGATAAGAACATCAAAAAAGATTTGCAACAGTTAAAAAACCGATATGATGATGTCAACAGCCAATTAGGTAGCCTGGAAAAGAGAATGGACACAATGAGCAAAAATCAGGCCGAGAATTCGTGTGCAATACAGGCGAAATTGGATGCAATCTTGAGTAATTCTACCTCACAAGAAAGACCGGCAGCGGATCGCACGCAAGGCACCAGAGTTGACTTTGTGGAACCACAAAGGAACAAACGGCAATCGACACCGTTGCCCTTAACCCGGGATACGGTGAGCATAGCACCAACAGCTGCTAAAACAATCATGAAGAATGGAATGTCAAGTACAACGACTGGTCCGGGGGACTCAACAGCTAACAGCAACGCAGGTCCGGATGCTATGACATGGGCAAACACTTGGGAGATGATGAACAGGACTCTAGAGGCCTTCGCCACGAGGAACACTAACTCGAGCGATAGGAGAGATGGGAAATCAAGAAAAACATTCAAGAAGCCAA